CAGCCAAATCGTGTGCGGCTTTGACAGTTCGACGTCTGTCAAGAAGCGCGAGACGCGCCGTGTGTGACAGCTGAGACACGTGTGTATGTGTATGTGTATGTGTGTGCGTGTATGCGTGCGTGTATGCGTGCGTGTGTGCGTGTGTGTGTATGTGTGTGTATGTGTGTACGTGTGTATGTGTATGTGCATGCGTGTAGGTGGGTATGTGTATGCGTGCGTGTATGCGTGCGCGTTGCATGTATTCCGACAACCCTTCAGCCATTCTTCTGATACCAATTTTGCCGTTGTAGTCACAAGTGTGATCTTCTTTGAGGAGCCTTTTCAGGTACATATGGAGAATCTCCAGCTCCTCCTCTCCGTAGCAAGATGGCGATTGCTGTTGAGCCACACCTTCTCACTCACACGTATCCGAATTGTGTTGTCAAGCCTTCTTGGGAATCGATCTCCATGGCTGAATGCGTATTGTTAAGGACAACTACGCTGCCGACGCATCTGCTGTCGCATATTCCAAGGAACTATTCTTCTCCAGTCTCAAATACAGCGCGCAGAAAGCGATGCTTCTTACCTCGGTCAGTACGATAACGTCGGACTTAATCTTCCCAACTTTGAGTCATCTGATTTTCAATACATGTCTCCGATGCAAGCTTCCGCTAGCTTTCTTATCAAGCTTTTCGCTAATGTGCATAATACCAACCGCACCCACAGACTGTTTACACATGCTTACGTATGCATGTATAGATCTGCGAGTTACAGAAGCTATAGCGACACAGCACATCAGGAACAGGGGGTCCATCCATCCAATCCATCTGCGTCCCTGGGCAAGTACAGCAATATGGCAACTTTTGGTCGGCGATTTACTCCCATAAGCACCGGCAAGTACTGAGCAAAGATTTCCTTTTTGATTTTCTTATCCGCCACCTGAGGTCGCCCTACGCAGCCTCTTGCTAACCATTCAAAAATCCTTCACTGAGAGGGAACCCCAGAGAATCGGCAAAAAATCTATCTGGCATTGCAGGAAATCCAAGCTGTTTGAAGAAGACTCGTGAGATTTCCCCAGCCATCAATGAGAGTGAAAGGAATTTCAAAGTATAAGCTTACCAACGACAACGGGAGTAGTAAGGGGAACTGAAATGGAACTGTTGGGCTAAATAAGTAGGTAGCTCATTCGTCGCTTGAAAACGTCAAAAGGAGTGTGGAAACGCCTAATCTGCTGGTATCATCAGAGAATATGAATCGGCCATTAGCCTTGACTATGGGTTTTACTTCACTGACAAGGAAGGATACTTGGTCGCAATGGCCACTCAAGATGAGATGCCTGTGCATCGGCGGCCCAGTGGATAGTGTGGTGGGCTGGTAGGCATGACATCAGGGTTCGATTCTTGATGCACACGTCGTTTTGCTTTTCCATAAAATGCGTCCTAAACGCTTGCAAAACGTTTTTGGACTCAATGATGGGCATCTACAGGGCTCGCTCGCAGTTTAGGAATACTGGAAAGGTATTACAAGTAAAGTTTTTTTTTTGCCCCTTACCGGCCGAATAAGGGTGGAGCTACATCGAACAAAAGAGGAATTCTGAATATTTACTCAAGACGAGCTTAAGAGGCTTCAAGAAGAAAGGTTTCAAATGGTTCATCGGATCGAACGCACTTCAACCTTTCGTTCTTGTAGCATGACGTAGACACTTTCTAGGAAGATGCAGCAACGAGGGGGTTTCGAACAGTACATATCGATTTATTGAAAACAAGCCTGTTACCCTTTGCGAGGAAGTCAAGTCCGCTGAAGGCGATCACAATGATCCTCTGCAGTCGCCTGATGAGGACAGCGACGATGGACCCGTAATGAATGGATTTCGCGAATGAAACCTCTTACGTTTGTGGGAATATAGAGGTTCCGAAGTGAAATGTAGCCTTCAATTTTGTGATCAGGCCCATGAGCTCCAATTTTATCGCGCTGGTAAAGAGCCCATAGCTCTCTATAGTTGAATTGACAAAAGAAGCCGCACCTCCTCGAACATGAAGTACACGTTTTGTATCATCACGACAGAGCGCTGTCCAAGGAAGTTAAGAGGACATGAACTTTCCAATTAGTCTATTATTGACAACTTACGATATCTCATGTGGACGCGAATATCAGGAGCAAAACAAGAGGGTCTATCTGCCTGCCTATGAGGATTAGCGGACTAGTCAGAAAGATGAGTTATCATAAAATTAATATAGAAGTCCCATTGCACGAGAGCCATTTTCACTGGATACCGCAACAAATCAACATTGAAGGCCCATAGGGGGGGGGGAAATTCAAAAGAATTCATAGGTGGATTCAGCGTTTTGAGGACAGCTGTGGTATTAATGCCAACCGCATCACCATTTTTACCTTATGGAAAGGCTCCTTGAAAAGACGTTTACTTCAAGAATGAGCGGATAATCATACACGCACACAAAGCAATAAACTATTTCCCTACAGTACTTCTTCAACAGTGCCAGTTAACTTGTACCACCGCTCGAAGGCGCGGGCAGTATTCCTAGAATGTTTGGACCGTATTCCTTCCAAAGAGGGCTCTGGTTGGATGAGTCATTCGGCCGCAGTCGACCACTGCGACCTACCATAAGTACAGGGTGCTGCCGAAGATTTCGGAAAACCATCTTGACTAATCGGAGTAGAGAGGCGTATTTATTCGGTCAGTAGCGGTAAAAATTTTCTCACTAGTTTACTAGTCTCCGAAGTCCTAAATTGTAAGGGAGCCCTGTAGATGCCTAACACTGACCCCAAAAACATTTGCAAGCGTTTAGGACCCATTTTATGGAAGAGCAAAACGAACGTATGCATCAAGGAATTGTACTCTGATGCCACGCCTACCAGTCACGCACACTATCCGCCAGGCCACCGATGCACAGATAAGGTCTTTGCTCGGCTCGGTGATCCGTTCGGTACAGTGGTATAACACAGGGAGGCATCGGTCCCGTAACTTTTCCTAGAATCGTTAGATTTGGAACACAGATTTAAGATCAGCGTTCGAAACCATCTAGGGGGTATACATCTCATCGTGAATGGCCACTGCGACCAAGTATCCTTTCCTTGTGAGCGAAGTTTAGTTATTTAAGAAGGCGCAGCCAGACACTAATTACTCCCGTTTGTAGATCTTTTTTTCGTTTTTTCGATGAATTTACTCTTCTCATGTTTACTGGGATGCCTCTCAGAAAAGTTGCTATCCTTGTATATTCGAGTTTTGTTTCGTGTAATCCCAAAACAGTATATTTAAACTTAATTTCCCCTCGGCACCCATTCGCTGTGTACCGACAGCCGACACCGTTCTTCAGACATAATTGGAACGAATAAGTAACATGACCTAGTCAATAAAACATTTACCGTTAATAAAAAGATCCATGAAATCATATTCAGCAGCATCTATTCCTCAGTCTCAAAAATACTGACGGAATCTTTCATATCATCAACCATACAACGTGGGCAGATTGTGAAAAAAAAACTACAAAAGAAATCATTGAATTGGCTGGAGAATGACGAAAGGATGTTATATTTTGATATAATTGTATTTTACAATAGCATAGATTGTAAGCCTTATAATAACAATCGAAATCCGGAAAGGTGAAAAAGAACGAATTAAAGATATAATTTATATGGAAACACTTCAACAGAAATTCATAACCGGCATCGCGAGTCGAGGAGAAAATCTCATAGTTTCGCAAACATTAGTTTCGGTACACTAAACTCATACATTTATAATAATTAAAAAAAGGGGTATCCCATAAAACAAAATGAGCACGGAACAGGTGAAGCGACTCAAGCTCAGTACCTTCAGCTCGTTGCAAGTTAACTGAAGCTGCGTTGTGGTGGGTTGTTACCTTTACCTCTATAGATTGGATGTGGCGACTGGATAACCGTACGGCAACGTCATCGTTCTGTGATGCTTTAGCCACTGTAAAGGCTGTAGCCAGGCATCGCGCCTTACATTGCGCACGAGTGCTACATCCATTATCAACTTCAGTTTCCCTTACATTGGAGGATGTCTAGTTTCCTAGTAGAGAAGCAAAAGTTGGCCACTACCAATGAATAATGACGTAGCTTCGCCTCTTCATCAGGTGTATGCGATTAGCTTCCCCTTCGCCTGGTCCGTGACTAGGTCTGTGGATGCCAGCAGAAATGAGAGAAGAGAAGTTAACAAGTAACTCAAATGAAAACCATCATCAGTTAAAGACCCATGTTTCGGAAAAAAAAAACTCAAAATGAACTGCTGAACACATTTCTGATAACGATAATTATAGCTTATTAGGGAATTCAAAAACCATCACTGGTCGATTATCGCCAAATGTCATGAGTTAAAGATCGTTCATGGATAAAAACATATTGCAGAAAGAAGCGCGTGATGAACACGTAGAGAAGTGAGAACAAAACATTACAATAGAGCTCTGATTTGAAAATGGGTGGATCACAAACTAAAACCTCTGAGGGCCTAAGGCTGAAATTCTATTTCAAGAGCACCAAATTCGCTGTTCATACGCAGACAATAGATACAGCGGGTTATGACTGAACACGCGAAAATTTAACTCACGAAAAAATCAGTTAGATACGGGCAGCGCAAGTCGGTGTGTTTTACCCGGCACGGAAACTAGCTCTGCAATGGGCGACTAATTGCTGAATGCTGCAGATGCCGCCAATCATAAGGAACATACATAAACGATGCTCCCGACTCAACCATCATCACCGTTATTTCTTCACAGCCCAAAACAACAAATCCTTACCATCTTCAAACTGAACATCAGAGCCCTACATAGCAAGAGCGGCATCAGGAAATGCATAATCGAGATTACTGACTGAGACGCGCGATTGTTCAGGAATGCACTAGCTACTGGACACTAAACACTAATCTATCTATCATTCGAAATACCACAGGTCGTGTTGCACACCAAGTACCGCAGCAAAGGACAGCACTGATAGCATCGGGAAGAGATTCATCAAAATTGTGAAATTACAATGAAGAGTGAGCTTCACTCTGCGTTACCCAGCTTTCGCAAATAGGCATCGTGCCGTTTATATTCTTCTAAAGCCTTCTCCGTTTGCATGTCCGGAGGGAGCTCGCTGCGTTTTTGCGTGAAACCAGCTTCTCTCTGATTCACTTTCTCCGCGTTCTGCTGAAATTCCATATTTGAAATATAAAGCTTCGTATGGTGATCCAATAGCAACAGATAATTTTAATATTGTACAATCAAGAAAATCTATCAAAATCGCTCAAAACAGTAAACAAACAAATTGTTCCTAGTTACGTATAGGAAAGGGACGTTTCTTAGGTCGTACTTATAAATACCGACGACTCTCCCGCACGCGCTGCCAATTCATCACTCCGAAAATGGCAAAGCTTGTGAGGCCTCCCATCACGTACTTAACGCAAAACGAAAAAGGACCTCGAGCATGACACAGGGACAGGTAGAGGGCAGTAGGAGAATGCAGTACGCGCTTTCATATTCAACGTCGTGCGTTGAAAACACAGCGTTACAAAGGTTGACACCACTGGGCATTGTCTGTTGACAACGCTGACCTCACATCTTAGTCTGTTGACAACGTTCGCGTTGCTCAGCGATTTGGAAACAACATGCTCCAGTGAAAAGGTCGTCAGAGGCGGAGCACACGTAGTCAACAGACTTTCGTCGAACGACTAACACCGTCAACAGAGGATGTAAAGCACTGTCAACGTTGGCAACGCTGCGTTTCCAACGCACATCGACGAACTCCTTGAAGGCACAGTTCACGATAATTTTGGGCGATCCAGGTTATGACGAGAAATGGAAGATAAGGAGGAAAATCCTACTTATATAATCGGCTAAGTGTGTCTGTTGGTGTGTTTGTGTGTGTGTATGTGTGTGTTAGTATGTGTGTGTGTTTGTCTGACCGGAAATTCATAACTCCTGTCCCACTAGACCTAGAACATTCAAATTTGGAAAGGAGATAGACATCAGGATGGGAACACTGATGGTAGGGGGTAGGAGGTGACAGCAATTAACAGAAACAGATAATGAGCCTTAAAAGGCAAAAGCCACAGGGTCCGTGACTCCATACGTATTAGCGGTGAAGCCCTGGCACTTTGACAAGTGGTGTAGGGTGCGAAGGGACCGTTAGCGATTGGTGACAGGAAATGATAGTAAGTGATAGGGACTGATGAGAAACCATAGAAGGCGAGGGCCACTAGATCTGTAACGCACTTTCTGTTATTAATGGAATCTTAGAATTAATAGGTGTGTAAGATGTAACAGGATCGTAGGTAATCGGTGACGGGATTGAGAATGGTTGGTGCCAGGCCAGTGGCTGACAAAGCTGACAAGGTGTAATGAAAATCCTGCAAAGCGTAGAGCCACTATATTTATGGCATTAATAGTGGAGCCTTGACAGTTTGGCATGTGTTGTGGAGTATGGCGGGATCGTAGAATATCGATGATGGGAACTGATAACAGCTGATATCGACTGATAAGAGCCCTTATCAACTGAATTCAACTCCTGTGGTATTTACGATGCATTTATGATTACGACTATCGCACAGATTACGACCGCTACCCAGCATGGTTTTTAACTCGGTGGAAGATCAAGGTTACTTTATGTTCTGATATCATTTACGTCAAAGCTCATGCGACCGCCAATAGTTTGGGATTCTCAACTAATGATGTACCCGTGGAGGAAAGAAGGTCTAGTGATAACGACATCTGGTAATGGTGGGCATGTGGTGCACGCATTAGCGTGCGTAGCCCAACTGGTAGTGCAATGAAGGCGAAAAAACTTTCTAAAGTGGAAAAAGCCTTCGAAGAATCGTTGAAAAGGGGGGCTGGGGGAGATTGAGACCAGAAAAACGAAGAAGGATGCGGCGATAATGAAGAAGAGGACGAGCTACACTATGTGTGTCACTGCGCACGGGCGGGTTCTGGTGCGAATACTTGATTCGGTGAGCGAAAATTCATTTAATCATAAGCATAAGTTAGCACAAACACCCTAGTAATAGCAAAAATAATCCCTTTTTTCAGCCACTTGAGGTGGAAAATTCAGTTAGGGATCGCAAAAGTAAAAAAGAATAGTAGAGAATAAAAGAATAGGAGGAAAACATCGCCTCATTACTCGGCGATCAGCTGATTGTGTGTGGGTCCTAGAGCGAATATTGCAGTCTGTATTGCCACGACACTCGACACTATTGTCTGACGGGACATCGGCCGAGAGGCGGATATTCGAGGCGGTCCGGTAACGGGGATCCCACTATACCCTAACTGTTGAGTTTTTGGGAGGTCCTTCCTGTTACCCTTCGGGGCCACTGGGTATTTCTAAAGGGAGAACAAAGAAACCACTTTTATCGTCAACCGCGTCTTTAAACGTCCAGTGGGTGCTGTCAGAGTTCAACGACGTGCATTGCTTCAATCAACTAACCGATCGGCGGACGCGGTTGCTGGCCACGAGCTGACAACGCAGGAGAGATTGCGTTCAGGGCCGCGCGAGCGCTATCGATCGAGTCCAGCGCTGTCGACACGTGGCAGCAACTTCGTCTGTTAGTTCGCCGGTCAGTTGAAACAACGCACGCCGTTGAAGTCGAAAGCACCAGGCCACAGTGGGCGCCCAAGTGGCACACATCGGAGGATAGTCGGAATTAATAAATAGCATCAGTTTCGTGATTGCTATTTGAAATAAAGCCAAACGAAGCAGAAATAGTTGATGAGAACACCGTTTAAAGGTTATTGCTTTAAACCACTTAAAGTGGGGATTATATGCGGTGCAGATCTTCCCAGAAAAATGACAACATGCTTTTCAATGAAGGGGGGTATAGGTAGACACTGAGTTTTTACAGCAACAACGGAATCAGAAATAACTTCACTCACCCTGTTTAGCGTATTGCGCATGATTTCCTCCTTGCTCAACTGCACAGTGCTGTCTTCGTCACTAGAGGTGGTGGACTTTATCGACAGTGCTTCCAAGCCACAGGTGATGCCGTTCACGTCGCCGAACGCAGCTTTGACCTCACAGTACTGTAATGGAAATCTCTCACAGAAATGTCTCTTCGGTTAAGCGCTATTTACGTTCATTAGTTGCATCCTCTCCGACTACACATACTTCCAAACCTCTCAGAAAATCTATGCTTGTGTCAAAAGGGAGGCGCGCTGCGCAGCTGTTTTGTTTTTTAATTTTTCATCAGTGTCATACTTAACTTGGATTAATTTTGAAAGACATAGTTCACAATAACTTTGGATATCTTGTCTAAGTAAAAAAGATCATAGTGCAGAAAAAACAGAGGTGACGAGGAAAGCGCGAAAACTGGCGGATTCAGAGAAATAGGTTTCAATATAGTAGTGAGAAAGATGGTTGTGCGACATTATGACGACAGAAGCTGAATGGAAGGGGTACTTGAGCTGTCAAATTGTGCAGTTGCGTACGGGCTGACTACTGTAATCCAAAAAACGCCGAAGACTGCTTTACATTGGGCGCATTTATAGCGTCGGCGCTGAACGACGATTATTCGCAAGTCGATGACTTATGCTGCAGGTGCAGGCTTATAGCAAACGGCTAAAAAGTGAGCAGTTGGCTGATCGCCACTACAAGTGAGAAACTGAGGTTCACTTCCCTAAGAACGCATAGAAACTGTTCATTCGAAAAAGACGTGCCATTGCAGGCTCTATATGAATGCGTCGTCTTTAACCGTCTGCATGTCTGCCACACGAATATACATATTATTCGTCTGCTTCCAAACACTCCATCGTGAATGGTGAAGTACATCGAAACCGTCGTAATACTTTCGTGTGTATGTCGGCCACGTCGCTTCTGGAGACCTTATTACCTCCTGGCCGGCCGGCTTGACCAGACACTAACCAATATGTGATATTCATTAGAGGCAGAGGCTCATCCCATGGAAAACCTCAGAAGCAATTCGAGTCTTGAACGTGCCTTTAAAGGCAGTGTATAGCGTGAGCGAGCGAAAACCATTGAGTCGGTCATGCGTACTGAACGTCTTTAAACAGGGCAATATGGCAGCCGATTGTCACCGCACATGGTGGGTGCACTCGAGCCTCCAGCAGCCAGGACCCCCGCTAATTTCAGCGTTTTACTGACGTAAACGAATTCCTTGAAGATGAACAACATCGCAGCCATACAGTCGTCATCGATAAGCAGAATTTGGAAGTTGAAACGCGTTTTTTTAGAGACAATAGAATCTCACCCCTAGACTATTCATTGGCCTTGTAAATAAAGCTGCGCTCTGTGTATAATGCAAATTCTCCTCACCTTCGGATTTCTCCGTGCACACTGTTCGATCAGTTCCCATTTCCGCTCTTTTTCTTCCTGTCGAACTTTCTCCAAAGAACGTTCCTAAAGAAGCTGTTTGCGCAATACTTTTTCGTTATAAGCATTATACAGTGATTGAACCTCAGTGTACAACTGTATAGCTGAAATCCGAGTAATATTGGGAGCAAGTCACCACACCTTAGCGTAATTCTGTGAGCATTCATCAAATAACTTCTGGTTGATCTCCATCAATAACTTAAGTGCGTTATAAATCAAACCGTGAATTGTTCTAAAAAGAGCGTATTCAAAAATAACCATACTTAGTAGGTGTCTAAGTGACAAACTTACTTGTTCCAATGAGACTTGCTGTTTTTGTACAATGCTGGAAACATTATTGGCAATATAACTGTAGCATTTTCCCCTATCAAAGACATCACATATTCATTGTTCCAGTAATAGAGTGCTCGCTCTGCTACCTGCAATCCTTCGATTACGAAACACAACACAATCCTACTTTATGTAGTTCGCGAAAAGAGTCGGCCGGTTTGTAGGCGTGTGTGTGTGTTTGACCGGAAATTTACAACTCTTGTCCCCGTTCAAATGTTGCGTTCAAATTACCAAAAGAGTTCAAATTTAGGAGTGTGACAGGGGCAGAACTGGAACGCTATTTTAGGTGGGAAGTGATAACAAATGATGGAGACTCTCAATCCCTCGAAGGAACCTGTCCGATGAACCCTGGCACGGACTCATCGGACGAGTTCCGCCTTGATTCCAGGTGATGACGGGTCTGAAAGGATCGTGGTGATTGATGACAAGTCTGAAAACAGCTGATATGAGAGGCAAGATCCATTGAGTAGGTGGCGCTCTTCATATTGGAAATGAAACCTCGGCACTTTGGGGAGAGCTAAAGGATTCGTAGGGATCGTGTATGGTTGGTAATAGCCTAATGACAACTGGCGAGCGCTGACAAATGATTAAATCACTTCGTTTTTTCGTATGGATACGGAGTATTGCTATCGATAAAGATTGAGCTATCTTTTTAGTTTCTATCCTCCTTGATATAAACGATGTAGGCTTTACATTTTGATATGGTTCATTGGATAGGACGGGATGGTTGAGCAGGTTGAAAGAAATGAATAAAAGTGCAGTGGTAAGGATCAGTCAATAAAATATAGGGAGAACGAAGTTCCAATGAATCTTTTTACCAGGTTACGACGAAGCCTATTATGTAAAATAGGTCGATGTGACGGGATCATACTATTACTGAATTTCATCTTACATTCTAGATGTGATTCGTGAGCTTCGGGGGTTTTCACTCAATAAGGAACCTATCTTCTTTCCTATGCTAGTTGTCTCGAAATCTGTCCTTAAACAAAAAGAGATTATTGGTCAATGATTTTTGCCTATAAGTTTAGAAGAGTTACGGACACTGTCTTTCAAAAGTGTTGTTATCATCATTCAACAGCATCAATATCATTGAAGTCCTCAATTGACCAGCCACGTTGCTCAGTCGCAGAAACGTCGGTGCGCCAGTACACCCAAAGATTGGAATGAATTAATTCCCATGAATACTTAATGTTGGAAGGAACGCCAACAGATGGAACCTTTTGAAAGTAAGCGTGTGCGTTTCCTACAGTATTATTGTATCAAGGTTCATGAATTTCTCCTTCGAAATTCGGAGTCAGGAATGAATTTGTTTCACAGAGAGAATGGGGGACAAGCCTCTTTTCCTCTTTCAAACTTTGTAAAAGGAAGGAGGGAAGCCAGCCGACTGTTGAGCTACCCTGTTACAGCCTAGATAATGTGTGAAACTCAAGACAGGGATTCCAAAACTGTCCGATACCATGATATTACAGGATATGGAAAATCACCTGGAAGTGTGGACTACTAACACAGCGAGCTAGCTGTGTGAAAAGTGGAACCATGACCTTCTGGAACTCCACTGGCTCGATAACATCCAAAACTTCTTCGAGTTCGTTCAGGAACATAACCTAAAAATGTTTGGTGTATCGTATGAAGCGTTGTCACAAAACAATACGATAAACCCTATGTAGCAGATGGCCCTGCTGACACATGCACCTTATTGAAATTAAAGTGATTACCTCTTTTGGACTGTGAATCTTTGGCCAGAATTTCAACAAACCCATGATAACAGGCTCAGTCAAGGATGGATCCTTTTCGAGAAACTGTACAACACAGTAAGCCAACTGTGGATGATATGTCGACAGTGACTTCACCTAAACGATTAAAAATAGCTTTTCATTTGATCTGGTTAGCACGTTGACCGCGAAGCAGGGGTTGGGTTCATGTTCATGTTTGGCTAAAGGTTATTTAAACGGCTTGGTACTTTGCAGTATTGAAATATAGCATAATAAGACAGATAAGTATAGAACATTTTTGAAAAAAACAGCCTCCTCATTGAACGCTTGTTTTGCTTTTTTAAGGAAAGTGTCCTGAATGCTTGCAAAACACATTTACGCATCATATGGTCCACTTAAAGCCCTCCATATTTACGTAGTACCAAAAGTGCCAATACATGAAACGAATACGGGTGCACTATAAGTCCAGCAGGGGAGCGCTGCGAAAGCTTTGCTCACAATAGAATTGCCAATTTCTGAGCAAGATCTGGAGGATTCGAAAGAAACTCACGATCAAAACATTCAATCGATCAAAGGGCTCCCAATATATTACTAGCTATATATTCTGCCCAAAAGTGGGCGTATCGCATTTGTTTCCCGCTTCGAACTGGCGATCAGGGTCAGTACAACCCACACGATGAGCAAAGAACTCATGCTGAATTGGGTTAGATCATGCGTTGGATCAACAGATTTACCTTCAACCCTCCTGATGGTCGACTCACGGGGCACCTTCAAGGACCAAGAAGCGAATCAGGGTGTTTTGCCAACTGGCAAGGAAGTAAAACTACTCAACATTCCACCTGGGCAACCTCCCAAATTCAGAATCTCGATGTACATTCTTTTCCTAACATTCGAAGCCAGGTATAAGCGTATTGTCTCTTTCGTGAAATCTCATGATCTGGACTTCCACGTCAGCAACCGCAACTCCATAATTCGTCTTATCTCCCCAGTAGACTTCTTGTTTAACTCCTAGACTCCTGTTTATCTCCTAGATTCAAAGATTCCTTCTTCATTCATGATTTGCAGAGGCAATACTGTTGTTAATCTCATCTAGACGGAAACTGTAAGATTGATGAGCATTATGAACTATTTTCCATACTTTGCTCTCACTGTGAGAAGCTTTTCTGTTTCGAACACTTAGTGACTTTTTCTTAAACATGTCAGCTGAATTGTACCAGCTCTCTTCTACCACCTTCCAAAAAGGCACTACCTCATTCAAAAGCGCTATGGCTTGACAACTTGCATGGCCGCCCTCTGCCGAAATGCATGGAAGTGCTGAACTTCGTGACCACATCTTAGTGCCCAGAGCGGAAGGGTTCTATGTGCACCCCTGATGGGTTTGTGGAGGCGACTATAATTTTTACTCGTATTATCATTTCTGGTCCTCCGTGAATACGAAGGAGGGCTGTAAGTCGTCTATATGGTGCGTAAGTGTTTTGCAAGCGTTCAAGACACTTTTTATAAAAAGTAAAAGAAGCAAAAACATAAAGGATCCGAACCTCCTCGTCGCGCCTACCAGTCCCCCCTCCTCCCAACTGAGCCGTCGGTGCATGGTCGGAAGTGTATAAAAGCAGAACCCTGAGGAAAAAAGGGCTCATAGCTTCGTTGCCAGAATCGTTTTGCAGATTTGGAACTCAGATTTGAAATGAGCGTTCAAAACGCTTACGTCGATATACATCTCATCTGGAATGGCCACTGCGCCTAGTATCCTTCCTTGTTATTTGTCAGAGGATGGTAATTCAAAATTAGGATTGGGAGGTGTAGTATCGATCGATGTTGTACTTTTGACCACTACTTATTTATTCACGATAGACTAGCCGATCGCCCGCTAACGCTTCCCTCCTTATGACAGGGTTGTAATAACCGGCTTACCGGCCACTCCTTCTTTGGAACAAAGGATACTTTTCTGAGCACGAAATATGAGACAGAACTAACAGAGCAGGGTCAAAGGTATCCAGTATGTGACATTGCTTAAGCCTATGGCTGGAGGTCTCGACGTGTTGCTTTTTTTCTTGAGGATAATCACCTCCAAACATTCGACTGATGGGTAACCAAAAGGTAATAAATGACGACCACGAATGATGATATATCAGCACCATTATCAGATGTTGTTATCATTGTAACACTTCTCCTTAAAGACTTATCACTGCTAGAGAATCCCAGATTATTGGGGCTGACAAGTCTTTTAGAAAATGGTATCGAAACAAAGGAAACCGTGTTCATCGAATCAAAAGCTACGCTGGATAGCGGTCGTAACCTACTAGCACGAACGAACCAATTTTTTATCTTATCACGACGAAAGATCTTTAGTCGCTCCATGTCACTGTACTTACCCATCTTATCGAACGAAACATCAAAGAGTCAAAGCTAGATCGTAAATACTAAAGGCGTTAGGATTTTGACTGGTAGAGAGTTCTTGCTCTCTGAAGCCCCTTATCAGCTCTTATCTGTTGTTATCAATTCAGCACCTAAGACCTCGTCACATCCTACATTACCTATTAAAATGTCAAGGTTTCCTCATTAACGCGAACGGCGCCACAGACCTAGTGGCTCTAGTCTCCAAGGCTCCTTGCCAGCCCCTTTCGCTTGTTATCATCTCCTGTCACCAATCACGAGCAGTCGCATCCCACACTACTTGCTAAAGCGCCGAGTCACCACTATTAATACGAAGGGCACTACGACCTAACGGCTCTCGCCTTCTTTGGCTTGTTTTCAGTCCCTATCATGTGTTATTAGGACTTCTCACCAATTAGCTGTGGACTCTTCACATCCCATACTATTTACTGGCACCGTAAAGAGCCAAGGCTCCACCTTTTAAACAAATAAAGTAGCGAATCCTGTGGCTTTTGATTTCTGAGGCCTCTTATCAGTCATATCAATTGTTATCGCCTTCTATCACCTACCATTATTCCCATTATTCCCATTCTGCCGCCTGTATCTCTTCCAAATTTCAACGCTCTAAGTCCAGGGGAAAGGCTTTATGAGTCACCGGTCAAACACACACAACGGCACACACACCGACAAACCAACAGACATTTAGCGAGTTACATATAGTAGGACATGGATTCATTTCCCTGGATATTGTTCATGTATGCTCATGTTGAATATGGATAGACTTTTCCGTTCAAAAGCTACAGATACTCTGTGGCTTGTAAACAAAAATGTACTATACCAATACATATTACATATCTAACGCACTAAGTGTATCGTTGGTTTGTCTATGTGTTCGACCGGAAATTCATAACACAGGTTAAGGTGGACATAAAGGGCGCATTCATACTAACCAAGGAGGGGTAGTCTACTTACCGTGGGACTTTGAATGGAGACCCAGATGAATCGATAGGGTTTTGAATGCTGTTTATGAAAATGGTGATTTAAACTGCAAAATGGTTTTCCTCAAAAAGTTATGGGGGCTCGAAATTTGCTCGATAGTAGTACCAATTGAATAAGCGAACTCGTCGCATCAATATCAACTGCCAAGGTGGCCTAGTGGTAGTGTCTCGCTTCATAGGTGTAGGGTGCGGGTTTGCTCCCCGCCATCGTCGGCACTTTTGCAGTGTTTCTTCATTTCATTAAAGACTCTCATAGTCTTTTTTGACATTGTTCAAGTGAACGCCTTTTTTCTGCCTTTATTTTCTCTCCTCGCCTATATCCAGAGCAAGTGGTTCTGCACGTCAATTGTATGACTCTGTTATTTCAAACTTCAAAGAGCATTTGACAGAAAGGTTTTAGGGATGTGTAAGATGCCTGCAAAAAACTCAAGGTTGACGGGAAAACTTTGAAAAAAAAATGCGTGAAACACACATGTTGTTCACAAAGTGCACGCCTTATACATGGTGACTTTCTGCATCTGTGACAAAACAGTCAATCGTCTCAAGACTGAA